TCTGATTGCTTACCACCTACTTGAAAGTAGCACATATGCTTACATAGAATGGTTAGTTAATGAACTAATGCTGACTGCTAATAAAATTGAATATAAGGACGCATGTTTAGTAATGCTCCAGCAGCTGCAATAAATCCACAAGCCAGATAGCCTTGCATATCCTTGGAGTCTTTTATTTTCTCCTGGCGTGTAAGTACAATTGAGTACTTAGGGTTTTATTTCCCCTGTTGCAGGTGACAGGCGGATGCTAGAGCTGACTCCTGTGTGTGGATCCCTCTTGGTGGGTTCAGAGAGGATTCCTTTACGCTGCAATCATAGTTTTTATTTATAACTCTCGCTAAATATTTTTATAAATAGAAGTTTTATAATCTATTGTCATAGTTTATATATCAATGCTTCATCATGTCATGAATAGATATTTATTTCCGCTGTAACTCTGATCGCATGTTTATATTCCGCTATTATAATTAATAAATATTATACTCTGATGTTGCATGAAAAGTGATGTAAGAAATGGCTAAAATGTTGTAAGCTTTATTCTCTCGTTTGCGATCCTGATGGAAAAATATGGATTTTTGGGTTCTCCCTTGGGATGTGCTCGATGGAACTGCGTAATTTAGTGTTCTCCCTTGAGTTCTTAGTGTCTAATGGAAGACAAGTACTCCTGGGAGGCATTAGATTAGGTGGTTCTGCCACAGCCGAGGAGGGAGAGGAGAAAGGATGGGGACACAGGGAGACAGTGAGACAGGGCGCTGCCGCGCTGGCGACAAGGAAGGGCGGCGCACCAATGGGATTGAGGGAGGGGCGAGCGTCAGTGGGGAGAGACGAAGGGTCGGCGTGGCAGTGGGGAGTGAGGGAGGGAGGCGGCGGGCGGTGGGTGGGGCGGCGCGGGGCGGCGGCTAGGCAACGGCGCGGGGTGGCTCCCTCTCCTTCGAACTGGGCTGACTGAGATAGTGAGAGAGAGAAGAACGTAACCGAGGCTGGGCCACGGGCATGTACAGGGGCTGTCGTGCCGTTATGCGTGGCGAGGCAGCCCCACGCCATAATCTGTGGCGCGGCAACCCTGCCACGTCAGCAGTCAGCGCTGCGGGTGACTACCACGTTGGCACCCCCGTCGCGCCGCTATGCATGGCGTGACAGTTCGATTTCGCCGCGCCATGAGAATAGGTATGGCCAAAAGTGTTAGTTTTGAAAAAAAAATCAAACAGTGTGAGATTTGAAAATAATTTTAAAAAATATTAAAAATAAAAAAATCGTTCCAGACCACCACCACCGTCCACTGCCACGGACACGGCCCACTGGAAAATGAAAGCGAGAGCCGTTCGGTTCGGGCCATCGGGACTCCGGGCCCAGGACGTCAAGTTTTGACCAAGTCAAGCCCGCACACGTTAAGAGTTTCAGACAGGCGACCCATGCGAAGGAGAGGAAACAGCATAACAAAAATCTTTTTTGTGCTTTCCCTCCATTCATTAGCATCCAATGATTATTCTAACGTCGTACGTCTGCTAGCGTCGAACAGTGCGCGCGTGCAAGATAAGGGCCTGGGCGGCCTATTTTTTTGCGTGCCCCACAGCATGGCCCCAACGCCTGCGGTCGGTTTCTCTATGCCTGCTCAAAGCAGGCTCGCGCAGCTCGGATGTCACCAACAGCTGTAACAGGTGGAGTCCATCGCAACATGTGTAATACCAGATCTACTTTTGTAACATACATTTGAAAACAGTTAAAACGCTTGCAACATACGTCTAAAACACTTGTAAAACACCTAGAAAACACTTAAGCCATTGCAAAGATATGCAACATCCAGATGAAACACTTACAAACAGACGTATGAAACACTTTAAACATACGTTTGCAATATACATGCATATGCAATATCTAGATCTACTTTTGTAGCATTTAGATGAAAACACTTGCAACATACGTTTGATACAGATAAAACATTTAGAACATACACATACATGTATAGCCGTTGCAACATATGCAACATCCCGATCTACTTTAAAAACATCGATATAAAACACTTGCAACATACCTCTGAAATACCTAAAACACTTGAAACATACGTTTGTAACATGCACTCTCCGCGTAAGCATCTTGTTGCTTCGACGAATGGAGGCCCGTCAGCGCGTGGAGATCACCAGTGTGCTCGCCGGTGGCACGAATCTCGCCGGCAACGTGAACCTGGGCGGTGGCGCACAGAGGATGGGTGTGGGGGCGGCACGGGCGACGCTACGCGCAGAGGGTGGGTGGGTGGCGCGTGGAGGTCACCATGGTGCTCGCCGGCGACACGGAGCTCGTTGACAACGCGGAGGTGGGCGGCGACACACAGAGGGCCGGGTGGGGCGACATGGCCGACGGTGCCGCAAAGAGTGGGTGTAACGTTCGGACGTCGGGCACTCAGGTTGAGCGTTTCCGCTATTTTAATGCAATTTTGACAGTGAACAAGTCCAGTAAAGTTGTCTCCCTTTTGGTAACTTCGTAGAGTAGAGTACGAGTAGAACTAGTCCAAAAGTTCTTTTCTTTGTTAAGGCAACAATCTTGCTTTTTTCGAATTAGAAACACACAGCATGTTCGTTTCGTTGTGGCTCGTCGTAAACGATCGTAAATTTTCAGCCGGAACAATATTTTTCTCTCACACAAACCAGCCAGCAGTACTTCTTCACGAACCAGCAACGAAACAAATCAGCCAACCGAACAGGCTGCAAACAATCTTCACATGCTGTGCAAATGTATACCGGGGCCGATCAGTTGTACTTGTACGGTGAATACTGACTAGCACTCCGTACTATACGCACGTGTTCTCAGATCTGGCCCAAACCATGCTCATCGATCTGCGTCTCGAATCAAAACGGGAATCAGGTCATTTCGTTTGCTGGTGTTGCTTGGAGCAGTTGTTGTTTCTATGAAACCATTCCTGCTCAACCTAAGAATCATATAGATTTTGACAGGGATTAGACATAATTATTTCTTCACCTGCGCTGAAAATTTATAGCTAAAAAAACGCCCCTTGTTGCTCCAAAGATGTCATAACCCACCATCGTCAATCAATTGATTCAACCGACGTGCGATAATGTACTACTACTAATCACCGAGTTGTCTCACAAGAGATCCGGTAAGATAATGACATGCACGTGACATCACGCTGACGGCGTCGGAATGCTCCAAAGACGAATGGAAAGCCGCCGTGAGTGGGAACGGGGAAGGTCAGGTGGGGGTTGGGCCCGCCACGTCAGCCTCACCAACTAACCCATCGTCACGGGCGGCTTCGGCGACGGCGGCCGACGGGCGAGGACGGCGGGTATGAGATGAGCAGGCGACCACGCGGGGGCCCACCCGTCGGCGTGGCTGCCCCCTGCCCCTGCTCGTCAACAACCACCCCAAGCCGCCACGCGGCTGCTGCGCGAGACCTTCCCCCTCCCCGGCCGATCGATAGGCGATAGATAGATATTTAAGCGGGGGTGGGGAGGGAAGGTGACTGGGCGAGGGAAAGGGAGGTAGGTGGACGGTGGTGGTGGCATCGCCAATTCAACTCCGCATCTGCATCGGCAGCAACGCGATTCACACCGGCCAGCGGCGACCAGGCGGAGGAAGGCAGCACGCCAGCACCACCAGAGGTGAGGTGAGGCTCCCGGCTCCGGATCCCCCCTCCCGATCTCTTGGTCTGCGGCTTGCCCGATCCCAGCTCTGTATCCATCCATCTGTCTCGCTGCCGCTTGCCGCTCCGTCATCCCCAGATTTCAGTTCCACCGCGCTCAGTTTTCTTTTTTGGTTCCTATTCTCTTGTTCCCGAAAGATGGGGACGGGAGGTGGTCGGCCGGTTAAATTCGTGTAGAGATCGAGATGATTGCGCTGCTATCTCCGATCGCCGATTCTTAGTTTGCTGCCTGCCGGTCCAGATCCATGGAAGCAAGCCGATGAACTCAGCCAGGGGACAGAGACGCGTTAGGGCATTATTACTTTGCCCTCTCGCTCTCTTCTCCTCCTAATCACGACCTTTTTTTATTAGCAGTGCTGTGTATTCAGTTACATACGTCGTATCAGTGAAATTTCAGATGCTTTCATGAGCTGGTTGGTTGTTAATTAGGCGCTGTGATGTAATCCTATAGACCTATATGTAGCCTGTGACTCGCAGGTCAGCGTATGATCTTGATCCTCCACTTATGTATTCACCTCATCGATCGCATATTCTTCCTAGTTAAAAAATAGATTTTGTTTTCAGGATCCTACCAGCTTCCTGTCATTTGCATATGCGTTGCTAAAAGTTAAAACGTATGCTGTCCTTTACCTGTCGGGTTACTTTTAAACTTTGTTGCTGGTGGCAGTAACATTGCCAGTTTGCCACCACAATTTGTCCATATGCTTAAGGAAAAACAAAATAGTCATTTCTGTCATGCTGGTTATTTACCATCTTTTTTTTACTGTCTTTAGTTTCTCAGTATTTTCTTTACGATAAATGAGTATTCAAGGTTCTTTATCCTTGTCACTTATATGTATGATCAATGTCACCGTGTCTCTGAAGATTTAACATGCATGATGTCCTACTTGCCGAATTCCTCTTGAATTATGTTGCTGGTGGCAGTAAACTTTGCACCACAATGTGTCCACATGCTTAAGATGAAACAAAAAAAAAAACGCAGTTGTTTCTGTCATGCTGGCTATTTTTTCAGTTTATTTCCTGTCTTAGTTTCTCAGTTATTTGTTTCCAACAAATGAGTATTCAAGTTTCCTGCTTATATTTATGTATACAGTCAATTTCATTGGGTCTCTGAAAATTTAACATGCATGCATTGTTTTTAGCCTTTTGAGGTGAGTGAGATCTCCATAGACTAACAGCCTGTTCGCTTGCTCGTAAACGATCGTAAATTTCCAGCCGGGAACAGTGTTTTTCTCTCACACCAAACCAGCTAGCAGTAAATAATCCACGATACGATACGACCTCCCGAACAGGCTGTAAACTTTGCAATGTCTGATGTGTCTGCTGCATTTTTTCAGTGTAGGAGATGGCGCTCACAAGAATTGGTCTTGCCGGCCTTGCGGTCATGGGGCAGAACCTTGCCCTCAACATTGCAGAGAAAGGCTTCCCCATCTCTGTCTACAACAGGACAACCTCCAAGGTTGATGAGACCGTGCAGCGTGCCAAGGCAGAAGGAAACCTTCCTGTGTACGGCTTCCATGACCCTGCATCCTTTGTGAACTCCATTCAGAAGCCGCGTGTCGTCATCATGCTTGTCAAGGCCGGCGCACCAGTTGACCAGACCATTGCGACGCTCGCAGCTCACTTGGAGCAGGGCGACTGTATCATTGATGGAGGGAACGAGTGGTATGAGAACACTGAGAGGAGGGAGAAGGCCATGGAGGAGCGTGGCCTCCTCTATCTTGGAATGGGTGTCTCTGGAGGAGAGGAGGGTGCCCGCAACGGACCGTCCTTGATGCCTGGAGGCTCATTTGAGGCTTACAAGTACATTGAAGACATTGTTCTCAAGGTGGCTGCTCAGGTCCCTGACAGTGGCCCATGTGTCACCTATATTGGCAAAGGTGGATCAGGCAACTTTGTCAAGATGGTTCACAATGGAATTGAGTATGGTGATATGCAGCTGATTTCTGAGGCATATGATGTTCTCAAGTCAGTCGGTAAGCTCACCAACAGTGAGCTGCACCAGGTGTTCTCCGAATGGAACAAGGGTGAGCTCCTTAGTTTCTTGATTGAGATCACGGCTGACATATTTGGCATCAAGGACGAGCAGGGTGAGGGCTACTTGGTCGACAAAGTCCTTGACAAGACCGGGATGAAAGGAACTGGGAAATGGACAGTGCAGCAGGCTGCTGAGCTATCGGTTGCTGCTCCTACAATTGAGGCTTCCTTGGACTCCAGGTTCCTGAGCGGACTGAAGGACGAGCGGGTTGAGGCTTCCAAAATCTTCCAAGGGGATTACTCCACTGGCCTACCAGTGGACAAGGCACAGCTGATCGAAGACGTGAGGCAGGCCCTCTATGCCTCCAAGATCTGCAGCTATGCTCAGGGCATGAACATCATCAAGGCCAAGAGCTCAGAGAAAGGATGGGGCCTCAACCTCGGCGAGCTAGCCAGGATCTGGAAGGGCGGATGCATCATCCGCGCCATCTTCCTCGACCGCATCAAGAAGGCCTACGATAGGAACCCTGACCTCGCCAACCTCCTCGTGGACCCTGAGTTCGCACAGGAGATCATGGACAGGCAAGCGGCATGGCGTAGGGTGGTCTGCCTTGCCATCAACAATGGCGTCAGCACCCCAGGCATGTCCGCTAGCCTGGCCTACTTCGACTCCTACCGGAGGGACAGGCTGCCTGCCAACCTGGTGCAGGCCCAAAGGGACTACTTCGGAGCTCACACCTACGAGAGGGTTGACATGCCTGGCTCTTTCCACACTGAGTGGTTCAAGATTGCGCGCAACATCTCCAAGAACTGAGCTGCTGATGCTGCTCCACGGATGGCATGCCATGGCACACATTGTCATGGTTTTCCCATTTTCGTCATCTTTGGTTTCTGCGCAGTGTTGAGTAATAATCGGTAATGTACTACTTGTAGGGGAGGTACTGTGGTTAAATTTGATTTTTCGCGCTCAGTGCTTAATTTGGTTCAGGAAGTTGAATTTGTCTCTGTTCTTTCCGTGTAAGCGGTTGGAATGGAGAAGAATAATGTTTCTTGGAACTTCTCTTTGATCTTTCTAAGTTCGTTACTATATGAATAAATACAAGCATTTTGACATGCTTGTGCTTGTCGATCAATCTTGCCTTAAGAAAATACCGTTCTTCCAACTCTCCTTCATGCGGTCGGTTCTGGATTACATTCTTTGCAGGCATGTTAGTAAGTTTGTTGTACGGATAAAGCATTTTGACGTGATTATTATGTTTATTGATTTCCTTCACCCTGATAAAAGACACTCAGTAATCCTTGACTAGCATCTGAACAACTCTATCTATGTTCTGGATAATATGCTTTGCAAGCATCTCAATTCAATCTGTTTATGTCTACAACTTGCGTATGATAATTTACCACGCACTGTTCTTCGTTGTTTCTTCTGTTTTGCTCCTCCCTGTTTACTCGATGCACTGTATGGTTTGCATATTATTACAGAATCAGCGATAGAGTTCGGTTAACAAAATGCTATCAGATATATACAAGGAAATTGACAGATGCAAAGTAACAAGCCGACTAGTGAATGATCTGGTCATCTGGACAGTTGATGAGCACTGATCAAGCCTGCAACAGAGTCAAAGCATCTTCAGCTTTGGCAATGGAGCCTGCTCCGCCAGAGGAACAGTGTGGCGCGTCTCATTACGCCAGCACAAATCGAAAAGCGAATTCTCTACACGAAGCTCAGGACGCAGGAGCCATTGACCCACTGTTACGTTGGACGCATGTAGCAGCAGAGGCGCGCCGCGCGCGTAATTGCTCTTGCTCCGCTCGCGCAGCCGTTTCTTTTTTTAAAATAATATTTTTTTAATGATTAATCGCAAATCTGGTTGTTGTGTGAAATGAACTGTAAATTTAGTAGAGGCCGACAAGAGTCCTCTCGATTACCCCTGTCGGCTTTCGGAGAGCCGACTGGTCTTCATGGCTAGGCTGTCGACATTCCCGTGAAAAGCCTAGTGACCACAGTTTTTTTTTTAAGCTCTAGTGACCACTGTTGATTGAAAGGGACAAGAGCTGGCAATGACTTCTCTTGTCCACGCCTGTAGCCATTGAAAGATTTGACAGGTAATACTGTACCACTGCATGCACGCAAGAAAGAAGGTACAGTACTCGCTTTCTCAGAAAGAGTGTAACCCTGTTGGGAATATTATCAATATTTATATTTCTAAATAATTTTATTATAAAAATATATTTAATAATTTATCTAATGATACTAATTATATACCATAAATAGTAATATTTATGTATATATATTTGCTTAAATAAAATTGAAATATTTGATTTCTAAAAAAGCGAGAATGATACTCTATGCGGGAAGAGAGTATTTACTGAAAATGGATGTCGAGTTATATATTCAGGTGGTCTAATCCGTGACCACAACTTAGCACAGTTATGGCACAGTTTTTTTTCAACTATTTAGTTTACTTCCGTAACTATAGCGAGCTAGCTGCTCCCAACTAATGCAGTGCGCAGACTACTCCTAGCTAGCTAGGGTAGGCACCGCTGCAAGGGCTAGCAAGCTAATAGGCCTGTGTTAATTATGATCCATCTTCACGGGTGGAGAGAGAGCAGTACATGCACCAGTGAATAGGCCTGTTCGCTGGTTGGTGCTGGTTTTTTATGAGAGAAAAACACTATTGGTTGGCTGATTTGGACTGGCTGAAACCAATAAGCGAACAGACTGAATAGCTTGAAGGCTGACGGCAAGCTCCGCCTCTCGGGCACCGAGAACAGATCGCCCTTCGTCTACCACAGTGCATCTTGTGGCCCATCTGCTGGCCGATATCAACCAGTCGGCTTCTGGATAGCTGATAGGACCATCGGCAAAAAAATTTTTAGAATAATAGGTTTCCCCTGCTTTATTATCGTAAAGCGGCCTACATCGTTCCAGTTCCGAGTATAAGACTATTTCCAACGGGCCATACCTAAAAACGAGACGCATATCTGATTTAAGTAGAGCACAACGAAGGGTCGCGGACGCAAAAAATCTCGTTTTCCAACAGCCGACGCAAACGAAGCTCCCGTCGCCTCCCCTTCCTCTCTCCATCTCCCTCTCTCTCTCCCGAGGTGGCGGCGCTGCGGCGGGTCCCGAACGCGGCGGCCTCCCTGCGCTGTGCGTGGACGTGGGCCCCGGCGGCGGGCGAGCCCGGCTCGGCGTGGCGAGCCGCCTCTCTCTCTTCCCCCTCTCCGTTGGCCGTCCTCCGGCGAGGTGGCGCACCGCGGCGGCGGTGGCGCAACGCGGGCTTTCCCCCTCTCCCTCTCTCCTGCTCATGGTGCTCAGCGGCGGCCAAGGTGGACCCCTGCGGAGCCTCCTTAGCGCCGGGCGGGCAGGAAGGGGCTGGGCGCCGTGGGGCCTCAGATCCGGCCGAGCCCGGGCACAGGATGGCCGCGGCGGCATAAAGCAGAGCCCGGCCCCTGGGCTTTCTCCGACACGGCGGCGAGCGGCCACCTTGGCAGTGCGGAGGCATGCGCGGGCGGGCCACAGATTTGCGTAGCGATGAAGAGGCGATGCTTTTTTGCGTGTTGTCTGGGTTGGTACCCAAAATGGGTCATGTGTTTGGGTTAGCTGTTGGAGAGGATTTTTGATACCTAAAGCACTGTGCCGGACATAATTTTGGGTCTGCGTCTCCCCGTTGGAGAGAGTCTAATGCGCAACAAAACGCATAAACTGCTGTAAGGCCAAAAGAGCAACAAAAACCAGATACCAGGCATCCCCCTAAGCCCTATTACATGGCAAACTGATCGCATTTCCAGAGTCCTCCGAAAGCACTTGATTGTACCAACTCGGATATATCCATCCTCCACTTGATCAGCGGCGTCGATTTTGCTTCTGTCTCCACCAACTGAATGACCATCTCCACCTTCTCCTGGACGTCCATCTTGAACATCGATAACCAACCTCTTAGCATCCGTCCAATCATCGCGAAAACTCTCTTCATTCCACTCCATGGCACTCCCTGAAAACATAACAGATTGCGCAATTTCCATAAAACCCACAGAATAGCAGATGACACAATATTACAGATCATATATCTCTTATTAGCAATCCATAAGGAAGCTATACAGCCTGTTCGCTGGTTGGTTTCTGGACTGATAAGCCTGGCTGATGCTGGTTTGTTGTGGAAGAAAAATATTGTATCATGGCTGATAAGCCTTGGCTGAAACCAACAAGCGAACAGGCTGATAGACTCAAAGTCATCTGCCATCCTCCTATCCAACCAGACAGAAAAAGCTGCCCAAACATGCTTAGCAACACAACACTGAAAAAACAGGTGTGAAATCGACTCACGTTCATTACAGAATAGGCAAGAAGGGTCGCTAACCTCCCTTCTCCTCGCCAGATTATCCCTAGTTAACAATCTGTTATTCGAAAGAAGCCACAGAAAAAATTGGACCCTTGGCGGGATATTCAACTTCCACACAGCATGAACAAAAATAGGTGTAACTCCTCTATGATTTATAATAGCATATAGAGATTGAACAGAAAATTGACCATTAGAGTTAAAACTCCACATGATACTGTCATCTTCCTCAGTAAGCACAATGCTATCTCCAATGGCACATAATTCTTCCCACATAAGCATAAGACCACTAGTAAAGAACAGACCTTTCATCCGATGCTAAAATGGGCTCTAGTCCCGGTATTTTTTGCGCCCGGGACTAGAGAGACCTTTAGCCCCGATTGGTGTCTCCAACCGGGACTAAAGGTCCCTGCCCAACGGCTACTGCACTCGGCACAGTGGCAGAGTACCTTTAGTCCCGGTTGTAGACACCAACCGGGACTAAAGGTGGACCTTTACTCCCGGTTGGAGCCACCAACCGGGACTAAAAGTCCTCAACCTTTAGTCCCGGTTGGTAACACAAACCGGGACTAAAGATAGACCCTTTAGTCTTGGTTGGTAACACCTTTAGTCCCGGATGCTTACTCCCGGGTGGGGAACCGGGACTAGAGGGGGTTCCCCACCGGGAGTAAAGCTCTGTTTTGTACCAGTGGACGCTCAGAAACATTTCGTCTGAAAGAGTTGTAATTCCTCACCATTCCAAATATCACGGATCGTCTTCCCCTGCTGTTCATTAATAACATAAAGAGGCCAGAAAAGAATAGCTAGACTAGTATTTCCCAGCCATTGATCCTCCCATAACCGTATTTTCCTCCCATTACCAACTATCCATCTAATACCCATATGGGCAGCTTGCATAGCCCAGATAATCCCCTTCCAAAAGGGCGACACCCCCACATCAGGACAACAGAATATATTTGGATTGTTAGTTTTATACTTAAAGTCAATCAATTTGGTCCAAATGGAATTTGAGTTTAAATGGTATCTAAAGATCCATGAACTTAACAGAGCCATATTTAAACTTCTCAGGTCCGGAATACCTAAACCCCCCATATCTTCCTTTTGAGAAACGAGTTGCCAATTGGCAAGATGATACTTTTGCTTATCCTCAGTATTATTCCAAAGAAAGTGGCCCATATGAGAATTGATCAAATCAATAGCCCATCTAGGAAATTTCATGATAGAGAGAAGATAGATAGGTATGCTAGCCAGACATGACTTAAGTACGGTCAATCTGCCTGCATAGGACAGAAGTCTCCCCTTCCAGCCTGCAATCCTCTTGATAATCTTATCAATAATAGGCTGCAAGTCCTCTCTTCTTAGTTTACTAAAGTGCAAAGGCACTCCCAAGTATTTAATAGGGAAGTTACTTTTCTTGCAACAGAAAATTCTAGCAAACTCATTAGCCATATCCTCTTCTATCCCAACTACCAAAAGATCACTCTTATCGTAATTGATTTTCATACCAGATAACTGTTCATAACAAACTAATAACCATTTCAAGTTTTCCGCTTTGTCCAAATCATTTTCCAGGAAAAGTAGAGTATCATCTACATACTGCAGGTTAATAATACCCCCAGGTACAGCATGAGGCAAAAGACCAGAAATAAGATTAGCCCTAGCTGCTCTCATGAGCATCCTAGTGAATACATCAGCTACCAGATTAAAAAGAAGGGGGGACAGGGGATCCCATTGCCTCAGCCCTTTCCCTAGTTTGAAAAAAGTGCTATTTTCATCATTGATCCTAATACAGATAGAACCGCCTTTCACAACCTTATCTATCCAACTTCTCCACTTAGCACCAAAAACCCTTGATTCTAACATATCACCCAAAAAACTCCAGCTAACCCTATCATAAGCCTTCTCATAATCTAATTTTAGAATAACATCTGACTCTTTCTTCCTGTGGACGTCATGAATTATTTCATGAGTAGCCACTACACTTTCGAGAATAAACCTTCCTTTGATAAAAGCAGTCTGATTGGAAGCAATCAGCCTGTTTGCCACACTAACAAGCCTATTATTCAACAACTTTCCAAAAATCTTAAAATTACAATTAATGAGACTAATAGGTCTATATTTCTTAAGGGTTTTAGCATCAGGTTCCTTAGGTAAAAGAGTGATCATGGCAAAGTTCAACCTTTCTAAGTTTAATTGATTTTGCTCAAAGCAATTGACTAAGCATATCAAGTTCTTCTTGATAATTTCTCAAAAAACTTGATAGAATAAGAAAGAAAAACCATCGGGACCTGGAGCGCCTTCAGCATAGGAACCAAAAACTGCTTCTTTCACCTCCTCCTTAGAGAACGGAGCTTCAAGAAACTCATTTTCCTCTGTATTCACCTTTTCTTCCTCCTCCCAGAAAGCACTCCCCAACTTCACACCACTTTCTTCCTCTTCTCCAAACAGATTCTTATAGAAAGAGACCGCATGCTTAAACATGGAATAATTATCCTCAATCCACGTTGCTTGCCAACACGCTACGTCCCCGTTGTGTTGATCGCTCACTGGGTGGTTCGGCGGCTAATTGGCATCACCTGCCAAACCCGCACGTCTGGCACTGCAAGAACCTACCCCGAAAGTGAGGGTAGCTCAATGGCACGCTTAACTAGAGTTGCTCTTCGCAGCTCCCGTGGGGCGAGCACAATGCCCCTCACAAAGCTCTTCTCCGGAACACCGCACAAGCTTCTTGCGGGATTCGACGGAGACCACCACCATGCCGTCTAGGAGGTGACAACCTCCAAAAGTAACAAGCTCCACCGGCTTGCAAGACGACCACCTAGTGTCACTCGATGCAATCGCACTAGAATTACTCACTCACTCGATCGGATGAATACTATCAAGCTCAAGTGAGTTAGAGGGCTCCCAAGCACTACCACATAAGCCACCAAAGCTCTAGTGTGCTTAGCAAACAACCCAAGGCTGAGACCCCCATCTATTTATAGCCCCCACGAAAATAGAGCCGTTGTACCCGTTCACTGGGCACAGCTTGGGGTGACCGGACGCTCCGGTCAGATCGATCAGACGCACCCTGCCAGCGTCTGGTCAACGGATGCACGCCACGTGTTGCCTCCGTTCAACCTCAGTCGCTTGATCTCAATGGTCAAGTGATGATCGGACGCAGCACAGTGATAAGACCGGACGCACCTCTACCAACTCCGGTTGTTTCCAGAGAGGTTCCATTCATGACCGGACGCGTCAGATTGATTACGACCGGACACAGGAGGGGCAGCGTCCGGTCGAGTCCAGAGAGCTCCCTGAGCTGCTCAACTGCAACCGGACGTGTCCGGTCGGTCACGATCGGACGCAGCATCAGCGTCCGGTCCTTCTCCTCTTCTATGCGCTACCACATCAGCGGGACCGGACGCTGAACAGTGTTCAGCTAGAGTCCGGTCGCCTGCGTCCGGTCTCAGGCTGAGAGTACCACCTTCTTTTATAATTGACCGGACGCTGCTCCCCAGAGTCCTGTCACCACGTGATCAGCGTCTGGTGCACTCTGTGAAACCCTGTCTTTTCTGTACGGGCTGACATTCCGCCGGTGAAGTTTCGAACCCTTGCTCCCAAGTGCTAAACACAATGTGTATCGCCTTTGTGCATGTGTGTTAGCATATTTTCATAAACATTTTCCAAAGGATTAGCCACTCAACTTGCCACGCCACTCGATCCTAGCGACGATGAAAAGTTAGATCACTCGAGTGGCACTAGATGACCGATATATAAACAAGTTTGCCCCTTTTGATAGTACGGCCATCTATCCTAAACCCGGTCATCAACTTCTCTACACACCTATGACCGGTGAAATGAAATGCACTAGGTTATACCTTTGCCTTGCGCATTCCATTCCATCTCCTCCAATGTCGATGCAGCACATGCACCAACACGATCAACAATGATATGATCCACTTCATATCATCACGTGATCATATTGGTTTATCGATCTTGACTTCACTTGCTTTTCACCGTTGCCTTCGGCGCCAAGTCTTGGTCAAGCTTCACCGCCACACGGTCCATCGCTCCAAAGCCTCCAACTTGCCCTTCACGCTTGCAACCGGTCCATCAAGCCAAATCTTGTCTTGATCTTCTTCACCTTGATCACATGACTGAGCTTTGCAACATCTCCGAGCCATTTCCACCTCCATAGCATATGTTGCTCACACACATGTACATGTGGACTAATCACATGTGTATCTCACATAAACACAATTAGTCCACCTAGGTTGTCACTCAATTACCAAAACCACACAAGGACCTTTCACCGGGCCCGCTCGGCGTCCACGTCGCGCCGCTCGTGGACGAGGCTGCCCGCTGCTCCCACGTGTAGGGCAGCTGCCTCCGCTGCCGCCGCTTGAGCCGCAGCAGCCGCAACCGCGGCCTCCTCGCTGGCCCACGCTGCTGCCAGCTCGGCGGCAGCCGCAGCCGCCCGCTCCTCCGCCTGCCGCTCCCTCTGTTCCGCTGCGTCCAGCGCAGACGCAGCAGCCGGGGACAGCCTGCTCCGCCCGCTGGAGGTGGTGGAGCCATGGGAAGAGTGAGAAGAAGAACGATTGGACCGGTTGGACATGGCTGCGGATTGAGGATTGGTAAAGGGGAAAACCCCAGGTAAACTTAGGCTCTAGATACCATTTGTTAGAACCAAAACACAGGTTTGGGGCTAGAATTTCAGTTTCATTAGCCTTACCACAACTATGGCATATTGGGGATACATATAGGGTGACTTGCTTGCAACTTAAGAAAGCTACATCATATTCTCGAGATGCTAAATTAGATGCTAAAGCAAGATAAGGATAAAGATAAGGGCTGACACTGCCACCAACTACTCTAGACAAGTATCATGGGTAGATAAAGACAAGACTTATAGTTGTCATGGTCTATCCAATTTGACCTCTTCTATCAGAGATGTAACAAAAAATGTGCACAAAAGATTATTCTAATTTTCCGCATCAGAAATCTTTATATTAATAACAGTGCTGTGTATTTGCAGGTGTGGCTCTTATGACCATTACTTGTATGCATTAAATTACAAAGATCGCTGCTGTACCTACAAAATTTCTTGTGGTGGAAGCATTTATGGTTCTCCTGCTATTGACATGGTATCATCACCGGTTCTCAAAAATCATTTTATATTAGATAATAGATATATATACAGATGGGCTCTACTAATTTTGTGTCATCCCTTGCAGGCACAAAATATAATCTATGTCACATCTGCAAGTGGACTTGTGACTGCAGTATCATTTAAGGTGATTTTAATACTACTTTGGGAAATTTGAATGTCTAAAGCACACATTTTTAACTTCTCAGTCTGTTCCATGGGATGTCCTTACTTTTGAGCAAAACTTGATAAATGAATACATCAATGACCTTTCAATATTGAATTTGAATGTTTAGAGTCTTCACTGATTTCTTTTGGTGGAGCAGGAACCATCCTTCAGAGTTCTTTGGCAATACGAAGCTGGTGCACCAATTTTTGGTTCTCTCGCCATAGATCATCAAAGTGGAAAAGGTATTTCTTCAGCCATTTGATGTAGATATTCTGGAATATGGATATACATACACATACTGTTATATTTCAAAAGTACTTTGATTCAATATGCATGTTACATTGAATGCCATAGTGTAACTATGTGCTAACCAATCATCATTTGCTGGTTATATGCCATCATGTTTAAGTTGGCAAGGTCAATGATTGTAGGTACAGTTACCTTCAATCGCACCTTATTTGATCAGTCTCTATATAAAAGCATGACATGTAATAATAAAATTTGAATATAGATGTCATCTTCTTTTATACCTCATGGCTCATGCCAATCTGGGCCAACATAGGGTTTGGACATACCTTTTCCTTTTATGTGCTGTGCTGAGTATCACACTTGCTACATGCAGTTATTTGTTGTTTAGTGAATGGCCTAGTTATGGCATTGAACTCACAAGGCTCTATTGTTTGGAAGGTAATTTTTCTTCTGTACCTTGTTCTTGTAGTCAAAAGAAACGCATATGGATAGTTGAGTAAGAAAGAAAGAGCTATTGATGCTTAGAATCTACTCTAGTTTGGCACTATATGACATTGTCTCAATGAGAGTAAAAATGCACATTTTTCACTCTTATGCTGTACATTTGATCCGTTTTTTCTTGTGTAGTGCAGTCTCAACATATTTATTAGTGTCCAAATCCATAACTTGCTATTAAAAATCCAGGCAACTGTTGGTGGTCCTATTTTTGCTGGTGCATGTTTGTCACCCACGCTCCCTCATCAGGTACTTGCTTGTGCTTGACTACATTGATAACTTGATGCTCCTTGTTGGGAGGAAACTAAGCAAATCTTACGCATTATGCCACTAGCAGGTGCTTATACCTTCCCGTGATGGCAATTTATACTCTTTCGATACTGTAAGTTTGATTTCATTGTACCATTTAATTTAGTGACTAATCAATCATGCATGCTTAAGAGTTTGCTTCGTGTTGCCAATATATGTTTTTTAACAAGGTGTGCCTCCGAATTTTAATTTGTGGTAATTGTTTTTGTTAAAAGATATGTAGTACTACTACTTCTCAGATGCTAACTTGGCCCTTGCTGGTAATAGTTTTCAAAAGCAGTCGTAACTCCTAGCCAATTAAGCTGTGCCTATGGTACTTCTCAAATAACAGTTAGAAAAAAAGGTTATAACAGTTAGAAAAAAGGTTATCTTCACAGTGAGTATTACCTAGTAATTTAAATTAATTTTGGTTAGGTTCTATAAGAATGACAGTTTTTCACAACGATATTCAAGTAGTGATGGGAGTGATGCAAAAATGGTTCCCTTTCTTGCATTTTGGTAGAAATCGATTGTGTGAAGTGATTTTTTCATATACAACTTAGTAGCATAAACTCTTAATATCATTGCTGCAGGTTTCTGGAGCCCTTCTTTGGGTATACAAGGCTGGGGATCCAATTACTGCATCTGCTTTTGTTGATGAGCTGTTAACATCAGAGTCATCTGGACCATCTGAGAGGTACCGAACTTACTGGTAGTGTTTTTTTCAAAAAAAAAAAACAGCGAACAATATTTTTCAGCCTGCCTTTTCAGCAAAGCGAACAGAGCCTCATTAGCTATTAGATGTATAGGAAATGACATGGCTGCCTTTTCTCTTCAGATTTGCTTGTATCTGCACGAGTTCTGGGAAGGTCCATGTCATTAGGATTAGAGCTGATGCTAAGTATAATCAGGAGCAAGCTGGTGAAGGTGTTAAATCTGAGGAGTTGGTCCAAGGAGTGGCGTCCATTAATCTTCCAGGGGACATATTTTCTTCTCCCTTGATGGTCGGTGGACGCATATTTGTTGGATGCAGAGATGACCGGTTACATTGTCTCACCATCACCACATAGTTTCAAGTGATTTTATTGGAGGTGATATAACTTGCCCATGCCTGGCTTTGCCATGCTGCCCGAGATCATGTCTTCCGTTCCGTGACAAGGGCCTTTCTTATTGGCAAGGTGCACGGCAGCACAACATAGACGAGTTTGGCAGAAGCTCCTGATGCATATGGATCTCCAATGATTGCTTTCCATGTCTGCACAGGAAGCTTTCGGCAGCCTGCTCTCGCGACTCAAGTGCTAACTGATCAAATGAGTGGATACCTTTCAACCTCACATTGTCATTACAGCATTTGCATTCACCCTATGTGGAACCTTCGCCACTGTCCTGCAAGACTGGTGAGTCATGCTGCTGTTCCCTTCAGTGAGTGCTGGTGGCTTAAGGGAAGTTAACTGATAGGAAGACCACCCATGTCCAGTGATTTGCAGAGACTGTAAAAATTGCTCCACATAGATTTATACTATTTCCTAGGAGGAGTTTATGATAGGGACAATGTCCTCCAAGAAATGTTCGAATGGATCCAGCTTCCTGCGCCACAAATGTACTAAGGCCCCGTTCGGCTTGCTGAATTTTGGCTGAAACTGGCTGAAAAACACTGTTCTGGCTGAATTGTTGTGAGAGAAAAACACTATTCTGGCTGAAAAAAAGAAGCCGAACATGCCGGTTTCTGGGTAAGTCTCTAGGAGAAGTTTTTCTTTGCATGTTTTTCCTTGTTCAATCAAAGAGGGGCTCTGTAAGAAAAATAGCAACTGAAACTGAAACAGTACCCCTGCTTTTGTTGGGTACCGCAAAGTTTTATCAGGTAAACAGCCTTATACAGTGTACCGCTACTGTATGTGTATAGTAATGGTGCATAATATATTTCTTTGAAAACATAGCATGTGCAACTATATACAATATTATTATTGCTTGACGGTAGAATAGCTAAACGTTGTAACAAAACTTAGCAGTAGTGCTTTCAAAAAAAAAAACTTAGCAGTAGTACATTTACTACACACTATTCCTATCATGTGAAATAAGTAGCAAATGGAGATAAAATCATAACTGCAGCATACTATGCTTTTCTGGACATGAAAATTTCACTGGTACTACCTTTATACAGAAACAAGTCTGGTAAAAATTTCATGATTTTTGGATAAGTTATACTACGACAATAAATATAATAATAGAAAGCATAAAATAAATGTGGGGGTGTTTGGCAGAGCTTCACGTAGCTCTAGAAAATAGCTCTGCTCTTAATTTTTCTTGCCAAATGGTCTAGCTCCGTGAACTCCACGGTCCGCCAAAAACTTGGATCTAGATCAAAATTAAATGGTTTAATAGTTAGAGGTGGCTAAGTTAGACGGTTTTATAGTTAGAGGTTAAAATTATATAAAGGCAGAAGTTGTCAGTTGAAAATGAACTTAATCCTTATTATACAAAAAACTTGGAGTGTGCAATGAATACGAATCATGAAAGTAAACCTCTTCTTGTATTGAGCAAACAATTGATGGTCAAACCTTTAAAAGTTCGACTGGATCTTGGTTTGAGCATATGCTATTCTTTTGGCTAACCAAAAAAATCTCTAAATAAGACAAAAAAATTACCGTGCTAATTAAAGGAAAAAAAACAAAATTATGCATCACTGGCATTAGAAAATATTAACACAAAATATATCTATACTTTATTTATAAATTGCTACGTCCATCATGGTAAAAAATAGCTCAGAAATACCCTAATATCAGCTTAGAGGCAGCCATTGGAAGTGCCCTAATATGGAAGCCCTAGATTTAAATTATGACTATCAAAAGAAAACGTGTGATGCTATATAATAGTAACAAGAAGAATAGTGAGGATGAAACATCGACGATTGGATTCTACGAGCTCGTCTGGTTGGTAGTTAATAATGTTGTTATCCTTGGATGGTGGGCTCTCGAATCCAACTGAAGATAACCCGGGTCGTCAGATTAAACCAACATCAATCCAATATGTCACGATGTTTTCTCCTGTATTTTCACGAAGCTGGGCTGTTTTGGGCCAAGAGCCCAACTAAGGCCTCCTCTATGCCTCAGAGTTGATGGTCATTCGACTTGTATTTGGGTCGACGGACCCCTAGCTCGTGTATCTAGTCCGTGCCGTAAACTTTCGAGAAAAGTAACTTTTGTGTTTGGACTCCAAATTAGGTGAGCCGAAAGTCCAAATAACTCATCTCGGTGATCTCTTCGACATGGTAGAGTCAAATTTGGTATTTAGGATTTTTTTTTTCATAATGATAATTGGATCCCATCTCGAGTGCATCTTTGCACCACAATCGCATAAGCTATGTTAATATATTTTTGTGTATATCTCAAGTTTAGACTGCAAATACTTTAGAACCACGATAACTCGTGAAATATATTAGTTTAATACATATAAAATCATCTCCATTTATTTACCAAGAGTCAGTGATTGAAATTTGCATTTAATGACTACCACCACCCCTCCCCCTATTTCACTCCCTGGTCAAGCTCAGCTGCTTGATGGCCCCACCTGCAGCCACACAGTCGCGGATGGAGCATCATTCTTCCCTGTGGGTTAGTTGGCAGTGTGGCTTGAGCCTCTCTCTACTAGTGTTGACGAGAGACATAAATAAGCGGGAGAAAACAAAACAAAAAACAAAAAGAAATGGCTAGTGGGGGCTTTGGTTAACGCCTTCCAAAACTAGCCGTTGCTCGCTCCACGCCAACCCACAGCCGCTCCCTTCATTTATCATTTTTCACTCCCCCTCCCCTTCTCTCGCTGCTCTCCGCTGGAGAAATTCAAAAACCATACTCCTATCCTGCTACAGAGCGGGCGATTGCTCCCCAATCGCACGAGCACCGGCGAGGGCGGCGGCGGTGCTTGGGCTCCCCGACCTCCTGCCTCCTAGGAGAGGCTCCCTGCTCCGCCTCGGGTGCGCGCTCCCCGGTACGACTGCTCCTGCTCGGCTCGGCCGGATCGCGCTCCTCCCCCTTCCCGGCCGCCGCGCTGGTGAGTGCCTGCCTTCTCCGCGGTGCTGTACATCCTCCTCCCTCCCTCTTCCGTTTCCTCGTTTCCTTGAGCGGAGCGCGGCGGTTGCTGCTCGCCACCTCCCCACTCCCACTCCCCGCTCCGCGTGGTGGAGGTGACGGCGTGTCGCGACCGGGCTGGGTCCGGGTGGGTGGGCCCTCGCCGGCGTCATCCGCCGCCGCCCGATCTGCTCCTGTTCTGTGGCGCGGACCGCCGGGTAGGCAAGTGCGCCCCCCGGTTTCCCCAGTGGCGCGGTAGATTAGGAAACCGGTTTGCTCTGTTCTGGGTGGATTTGTTCTAGAAAGGAAGGTAGTTTGTTTATCCGCGGCTGCTCGTTTCCGGGATTTCGTATTTTTGATGACGCGAGTTCTTCGGATCGGGTTTCCATATTATGCTGATATATAAGTCCGATCCACTCACTACTGGCATCCACGCGTCCCCTGGTGTCTCAGTGCCGACTAGTTTTGTTTGCGCCACCCCCTTTTGACAAGGGTTCGGATCGGACATCATCTCGAATTCGAGATGCAGATTCCGTTGTGGGGGGATTGCGAGATCCTGGAATCAGCAATTCCTCGTCTACGTCCAGCGGAGTCTAGAACGAATGCTGCTCGTGACATGACACGATCATTAAATTTAGTACGGATTTATGCTTACATGGAAATTGCTTTGTCTGTGCTTGCATGAATCAGTGGAAACTAGATCTGTATTTTTGTTTCTATAACATGCTGGGTGTCAATTTTTGCAGCATTTCAAATTTCAAAAGTCGGTGCCTAGATCCCTGTAAAATACTACTAACGTCTGTAGTTTACTTCTGCTGCTAGAAACTAAACATTTGTTTATTTGGATTCGAAGTTAAGGCATTTTAGAAAATATCTTTACTAGTTCGCCAGCAATTTCGTTTATGATGAATGATGCAATTTGTTTTATATTCATGTGACCGTTGTTTCCAGTTCCTTATTCAATTCCTGAAATCTTTGTTTTAGATTATAAAGTGAGGAATAAAAAAATGGGCGCGTCAAGACCACCAAGCACCCCTGCATCAAAGGGTGAGCACACACCGATGTCGACTCCTGGTGGCAGCTCAAGGGCCAAGGAGGAGAAGATTTTTGTTACAGTGAGGGTGAGGCCACTAAGCAAGAAGGAGCTGGCTGTGAAGGATGATGTGGCATGGGAGTGCGCTGATAGCCAGACAATCTTGTACAAGGGCCCCATGCAGGACCGAGCTGCACCGATGTCTTACACTTTTGGTAGCGTGGCTTGATCAATTCATGAGCAATGCAACTCAAGAAAATCTGTTTGCAACTGATCGATGTCTTTGAATTCCTTTCCTTCCAGATAAAGTGTTTGGGCCAGCTTGCCAAACAGACGTGGTCTATGAAGAGGGAGCTAAGGATGTTGCAATGTCTGCACTGACAGGCATTAATGGTAGGTTAATTCTCAGTTTGTACATTTGTGGTAGTGGAGTGATCATCTGCAAGTGACCCCTTACCTTGTGTTTGTTTTGCAGCCACCATTTTTGCATATGGGCAAACCAGCAGTGGTAAAACATTCACGATGAGAGGCGTTACAGAGAGTGCTGTTAGTGATATTTATAGACACATAGATAATGTGAGTTTCATAAATCTGAGCAAGTCATTGCTTTTTGCTCTCTATGGTATATTGCTTTCTAGGATGCATGTAAGTGTTATAACTCATAATTGTTCTTGTTTAGACTCCTGAGAGGGAATTTGTGATCAAAATATCTGCTATGGAAATTTACAATGAGATTGTGAAGGATCTTCTACGACCTGACTCTGCTCCCCTTCGGTTGTTAGATGATCCTGAGGTTTGTTTACAACTTTGTCAGTTATTACAATGGCCCATGAAAATTTTGATCTTATAGTGAACTAAATGAAAATATTTTCTGTTTGACAGAAAGGAACCATTGTGGAGAAGTTGCAAGAAGAAATTGCTAAGGACAGCCAACATCTAAGGCATCTAATCAGCATTTGTGAAGGTAAACACTAGGTGCTGTAAAAAAAAAGCAGAAATGAAAGCTAATCACTTTAACAACCTTTCGAATGATTGCAGAACAAAGACAGGTTGGGGAGACTGCACTAAATGACACTAGTTCACGTTCCCACCAAATCATTAGGCTGGTACGTGTCCTGTTTTCATTGAGTCATTCCAGGAAAAACATGGTGAGGGAAGTATTAATCTTTTGTGGTGTATATCTTTATCCAGACTCTCGAGAGCAGGCTCCGTGAAGTTTCAGGATGTGTGAAATCTTTCGTTGCTAACCTGGTAAGCATGATATCCTCAAAGGTCTTATATATTGGTGATGCTGATATTCATAATTTCAATAATTGCTTCCTTTGCTTGCAGAACTTTGTTGACCTTGCTGGAAGTGAACGAGCTGCACAAACACATGCCATAGGTGCAAGGTTGAAAGAGGGTTGTCATATAAATCGCAGCTTGTTGACTTTGACTACTGTCATCAGAAAGCTAAGGTAGAATTCAAAGCTCAAGTTCTACTTGGGTGTAAGAAGCCTCAGTCAGATTTATTTAGTACCTTTTCTCTGCATCCATCTACAAATTGTAACATTGAAGATTTCTGCTAAAGAAAATGTATCAGATAAAATGCATTCTGCTGAGATGCCATATCCTGATTGGCCATTTGTCATTTTGAGCAAGTCAGTCAGCATGTCTGAAACACACTTGTGTTCTTTTTGCATCTCGTGGTAGTGCAATCTTTTGCTTTTTTTTTTTAAGAATACTACCTTAATTGTTTGGCTTAAATCACTAAAAGTCAAAACTGGAGAATAAAAGGCTTTTGAAATGTGTAAAGTTATTCCAAGACTAACAAGTACTTGCACATTTCTGGTCCATGAATTAATCTTGCTAAACAAAAGCTTCTAAGATGTCTTCTTCTCAATTAACTCTTTTGCTGGTATATTCAATTTTGTTCTAGTTTGGCCTTCAGCGATCAATAACTTTAGGTTTGGTGTTAGATAAATGGCGATTAAAGATGGTTGCTATATTCAGTTTTCAAAATAGGATATCTCACTCATTAAAGCATTTGTCACGTTAAAATAAATGTTCTACAAATATGTTGTTTCATTAGCTTATTTTGTATCTGTGGATTGTCAATATGATGTAGAAATAAATTCCACTTAATAAATGAAATTGTAGTGCTTGTATGGTCTCCCCAAAGCTAGATGACATGTATTTGGATCAGTGCAATTGATTGAGAGTGACTTTTCCAGTCTTATTTGTAACTGAAACTTAACTGTAAACTTCAATTGCAGTTCAGGGAAAAGAAGTGGACACATACCCTACAGGGACTCGAAGCTGACACGCATTTTACAGCTTTCTTTGGGTGGAAATGCAAGAACAGCAATCATCTGTACCATGAGCCCAGCCCTGACACATGTAGAACAATCTAGAAATACTCTATTCTTTGCAACCTGCGCAAAGGAGGTCACAAATACTGCAAAAGTTAATATGGTAAGGGTGTGAGTCGTGACTCTGAGACAACATTTCTTTGTGCCTTAGTAATTGTTAGATACATCAATGTACAACTCAACAATACATGTTCCATGCAGGTTATATCAGATAAGCAATTGGTGAAGCACCTTCAGACAGAACTTGCTAGACTAGAATCAGAGCTGAGGACCCCTGACCGTGGCTCCTCTTCTGATATCCTCATAATGGAAAAGGACAGGAAGATTAGACAGGTAAAGTCTCTGACCAAGGTTTCATGTTCACTTTTAACTTTCAAGAGTGCACTAAATGCTTGAAATCATTACCATGTTTTACATGATCTAATCAATGAATTGTGTAGATGGAAATTGAAATTAAGGAGCTCAGGAAACAGCGAGATACTGCACAGTCAGAGCTCGAAGAACTGCGGAAGAAGAAGAGTGATCACCAGCCAGTAAGAATCTGGCTTTTGTTTGTCCCGAACTCCTCTTCATTACCATTAACTAACCCTTTGGGTTGCACTCTACTCTTGCAGGGGTGGAATCCCTTTGACTCGCCACAAAAAGCACGAAAGTGCCTTACATTTTCAGGATCACTAGAGCCAAGTAACAAAATTAAGATGATGAGAAGCTCAGTTAGGCAATCATCTACTGCTCCATTTATGTTAAAGCATGAAATCCGCAAGCTGGAGCAGCTGCAACAACAGCTTGAGGTTGAAGCAAACCGCGCCATTGAAGTACTTCACAAAGAAGTTGAATGCCACAAGCATGGCAACCAGGATGCTGCAGAAACCATCGCTAAACTTCAGGCAGAAATCAGGGAGATGCAATCTGTTAGGTCTGAGAGCAGAGACGTGGAGATGATTACAGATGAAGGAAATGGATCTGATTTGAAAGATGAGATTTCTAGACTTCATATGCAAGACAATGATATTGCCAAACTTGAGGCGAAGTTAGAAAATGTGCAACGGTCTATTGACAGATTGGTGATGTCACTTCCAAATGTTGCCATGCCGTGTAATGAGACTACCCCAAAGTCGAACAGATCAAAGAAGAAGAAGAGGCTTCTTCTTCCTCTGGGTGTGAGCAACAACATAAACAGAGCAAATCTTCTCAGAGCACCTTGTTCTCCCCATTCTTCCAGTAGGCCTTCAGAATCAGAAGTTGAGAATAGGGCCCCAGAGGGTGACACTATGTCTGTTGAGGGTTCAGAAAAGGCTACTCCCACCAAGAGTGAAGATGGAGATATGTCATCTCGTGATGAGACACCACGCTACAGGCGCTCCAGTTCAGTCAATATGAAAAAGATGCAGAGGATGTTCCAAAATGCTGCAGAGGAAAATGTTAGGAGCATCAGGGCTTACGTGACTGAACTGAAGGAGCGAGTTGCAAAACTTCAGTACCAAAAGCAGCTGCTAGTCTGCCAGGTTTTGAACTCACTTGATCTTTCTTCCCAAAAAAATTGTCTGCTTTCCTGCTACTAAAATATGTTCGATTACGTTATTTTACAGGTCCTAGAGTTGGAATCTAATGAAGGCAAGTCGAATGGAGAGGATAATTCTGGGCCTCTACAGGATGGTCCTGATTCATGGGACAGAATATTTAAGGAGCAGATGCAGTGCATTATTCATCTGTGGGATCAGTGCCATGTGTCGATCATACACAGGACCCAGTTTTACCTGTTATTCAGGGGTGACAAGGCTGATCAGATATACATCGAAGTCGAAGTAAGAAGGCTGGTATGGTTGCAACAACACTTTGCTGAGGTCGGCGATGCAAGCCCTGGTGCTGTTGACGACCCTGCAGTTTCACTTATCTCCAGGTACTGAATAACTACTACAATAGCGTCACATGCTGCTTGTTTTCTGAGTTTCACCGATTGTAGTTCCAGATACTGTTGAAGAGTATAACCAAAAGAAAGGAAAATAGTGTGTCTACATACCTTTTAGCCATCCGTAGTGAAGCATTCCTGTGTTCAGTAGCCATAACAGAGTATTTTGTATGTTGCAGTATGAAGGCATTGAGGAACGAGCGAGAATTTCTCGCGAGAAGGATGGGATCAAGGCTGACGGACGAAGAGCGAGAGCGCCTCTTCATCAAGTGGCAGGTGCCCCTGGACGCGAAGCAGCGGAAGCTGCAGCTGGTGAACAAGCTCTGGACCGACCCCAACGACCCGACGCACATCGAGGAGAGCGCGGACCTGGTGGCCCGGCTGGTGGGCTTCTGCGAGGGCGGCAACATCAGCAAGGAGATGTTCGAGCTCAACTTTGCAGTCCCCACGAGCAAGAAGCCATGGATGGTGGGCTGGCAACCCATCTCAAACATGATCAGGGAGAAGACCCAGCAGCTCTGGTGAGAACTGAATCAACTGATGGTGCCGGCCTCGCCGATGTTGTACAGATGGAATGGAACAAAAGACAGTACATTTCGTGATGGTCGGTTCAGCTCTGGAAATTGTTGATCAACTGGGGGAAGCGTCTCAACTTCCTTCCCGGTTGGACGGTTGGTGTCAAGGCCACAAGTGTCTGAGTTACATCTTCCTGTCATCCTCTGTGTGTCCTCTGTAGATGGTGAAAGAGAGAGAATCTGAATGTTCTCGCATTCTTTACATATTTCCTTTCCAATTCAAGCCAAGTTTTGTTTGTTCCTTCTGTATTATGATATTATGATCTGGATCTGATTAGTCGATTCAAATTCTTTTGCCCCCCCTTTTTCTGCTGTCTGTGTCTGTGCATCGGAATTGCTGGATCTTGATTGCCGATTCTTGTTATCTTGATTGTCAATCACATCACAAATACTCTCAATCTTGTTTGCGGGCCTATAGCGGAGCTCAGGGACAATAAGCATATGTACTTTCAGAACGACGCTCCTAGTTAGTTCCATTTAAACAAGAATCGTGACAGATGAATAGATTTATTTTTTGGAGCAAAGTGACAGATGAATAGATAATATACTGCAAAAGATAAACGCATAGAATTTTCGCCCATGCAGGTTATTCCTAGCAGCAGCTGCATTGATTCAAAGTTTCAGACAAGAAATTCAGAGTCTAATGTTCATTGCCAGACAACTTTGTGATTTTCATGCTCCTGAGTGTCTGAGTTACAACTTTTGCCAAATGGCACTTTTTTTTAAACAAAAAGGAAGATCTCTGAGTCAAACTCCATTGCCCACCGATGAGTAACTGAGACGTTCTTGGGCTGTTCGTTTCTGACAGCTGGGTTCTGAAGCAGATATATAAACAATATCCACAGTTCCCGGCCAGACGAACAACTGCACAAGGCCTTAGAAATGGAAAATTCGTCTCCTAACGTATATGCTCACCGAACATGCGTATGTCCCCAATTGGCAGCAGTTGCTTATTTGTAGAATATAAACCTCGGTGCAAATGAAGTATATCTTCAAATTAAGAAAATGCCTGTGGTAAATACATTCTCAGCGCTGGACCAACAAAAGCAGAACTGTCCATTTGACTAATAGTTCCTCCAGGAATACTCAGGTTACATAGGTAATCTTCAACAGATCATATGGATATTCGACATTACGACAGTTCCAAACATTTAAACGCGACAATCGGCGTCCACAATCTGGGGCTACAAAATCTTAACCACATGGTGCGGCAGTTGCTTATCCGAGGAAGTTCATGATCACCAGGTGGAGCACCAGGTTGCACAGGACGAAGTCAGCAAAGGCCCTTTCTGGGGGAAGATCCTGCAGGAAAAGTTTTGGCATACGACGTCATGCCAGATTTTCAAAATAGAACGGATCCTACCATATGAAGATGAGACGAAGTGATACCTTAAATTCTTTGTTGTCTTTGTTCACTTGAATGCGGAGGCAAACTGAATGAAAAAAGGTAAAAGGAGAATGTGACAGTTAGTTCCTATCATGCAACCAAGGTAAAAGGGCAACAGAGGGTAAGAAGCTCCTACCAGCAAGAACTGCAGTTCCTATGCATGAAAGGACTCCAGAGAGGAAGGAGTTGAAGGGAAACGACCCAACCAGTCCCATGTAAGCAACCTGTTTCATCCACATTAAATAGCATACCAGTAATAAGTCTCTGAAGGTGTTTCACTTGTATTAGCATTCCAGGGGCAATTATCAGCTATGTTGCAGAAACAACTAAAGAGGAGTAACGAACCGAATAACAATGCTCAGTTCACAATACAAGTGCACAAAGATAGCCTTGTCCTTAAACCTAAAAATCATGCTTGAGGACAACAAATTCCATGGTTTTCAGAAAATGACAGCTAACAAGTTGATATATCCAATCAACACCACTGAATGAAGAACATATAGTTTGCAATAGTTACAATGACAAGTACAGTGCTACAACATCCACGCAATCAGGTTGACAATGGCTAGGTAGAGCTGAGATTTGCAAGTTGACTACTTTGCTGTAACCAGTAACTGAGAAGAGTTGCAACCTTAATAAAGAATGTACAGTTGGCAAAGCAAGAGCATAAGATAACTTGTGCTAATACCAATAAATCATGCTTGAAGGCAATAAGTTGCACGATTTAAGAAAATGGCAGGTGATAAGTTCATCTATCCAATCAAACACTGAAGAGCATACGTAGTTTGCAAAAGTTCAACTGAAGGTACAGTGCTACAGCGCCCACACAATCAGGTTGCCAACAGCTAGGTAGAGCAGAAATTTGCAAGTTCGACAGCTTGTAATCAACAACCGAGATTTACATACGCAGTATATCAGTTGATAGCTTTAGCAGAGCAGCCTGTTCATAAGATTTATTGAGCATGTATCTGATGCCTACCTACCTACCCACTGTTATTTGACAACCAAATAACCAGGCCATGTGTTTTGGCGTCTCCCATGTTAGGTTTAGTGAAAATCAAAATCCACAGAAAAACATCCGCTGATGCGGGATACTATAGTATACACTCCAGGCTATTCAGATACACTTCCCTAACCATATTTCGAGGCTTTCAAACCTATTTGAACAAGATGTTTGCATATAAGAAGACATAAGTGTTTAAAAAAAAACTTATACCTGAATAAGGGCAGTGGCAACCGCAAAAACCACATAGAGGTCAATAATCTGCAGACATATCACCACACGGAGTTAGAGGGGGTAGCGGACGACTGCAGGGGAAATGGGAGATCGAATCGAATGAGGCTACCTTGAGATTTGTTGGTGTGGCAGCATACGCCTTGCCAAGGGACTGGATCAGAAGCTTCGCATCACTGGTGGCCCTCGGCATCTTGAAATCCCGTCGTCTACTCCACTTGAGGTAAGGACATAACCAGAAAGGAACAGGTCATAATCAGATCAGTTCGCTTGGATCGACAACTTTTTCAAGCAAATCGGAGTTGGTAGGCATAATTTTACATGTGTACTCTTGAAATCAGATCAGATCCGAATACAGAGGAACAGGCAAGTAGCTCGAGTGAGGGTTTGGGTGGTGATTTCGCACAGCAGGAAGGAGGAAGGGGAGGGGTGGGCATACCTGGCGGAGTGCGTGATGGGTGGGTACTCGTCGCCGGCGACGGCGAAGACCTGGGCAGCTGGCGTCGCGTCGGGCTCGGGCGGCGGTCAGAGGCTGTTTGGCCTCTCGAGGGGGACGGGGGGTTTTCTCGTTCTCTCGAGTCTGGACCGTATCGTGTTTCCTGGGCTGGGCCGTCGTTCCTTCTTCACGTTTCTTTTTTTTGCACAAAATTTTATTTTCCTCTCATCTTGTTTCACTCTCTGATTCAAAAAAAAAAAAAAAAAAAACTTGTTTCACTCTCTTTTTTATTCTTCCTGATTCAGTATTTGCTAGTATTATTATTTTTTATTCTTCCTGATTTCATGGCTTTCAGTTTATTTCTTCCTGATTTCGAATTTGATATTTTTTATTCTTCATGATTTCAATAAAGTTATTATTATTTTTTCATTCATGGGACAATGCAAATATTAAAGATCCATGACGCTCTGTTTTTTATTATTTTTTAATTCTTTCTAATTTAATATTCGTTATGACTCTCTCAATTCCAAATAATAAGACGTCTTATCTTTTTCTATATACGTAATTTTTTATGTGCACTTATATATACACTATGTTTATGTACATAGTAAAAGTAATATCTTGAAAAGCTAAAACGTCTCGTAATTTGGAAGGGGAGGCTGATATTAGATATTCGTAATGTTCGGCCATTTAGGTTGGGATTTAAGGCTCGACGTCATTTGTGTTGGGATGCAGGTCCGTTTGAGAGCGCTCTTGGCTTCAGGTTCTCCGTGAGAATCGATCATAGACAGTTAAACGATTTAAAACAGATTTGACAAAAAAAAATCACCTCTCTACTTGCACTGAGAGATGTAAGCTAAAAAACCCGACTACATTCCAAAGGAGATCTGACAAAAATCGCTTATCTACTTACACTACGAGTCGTAAGCTAAAAAAAATAACCGTTCCTCGTTCAATCCCTTCTAGAAGGGTATGCTCTGAACCGGGCATTCGTTTGCCCATGCGCTCCGTTGCTAGCCCACAACGCTAGCCCAATAACTCACGCTCCTTCATTTCTCAAAAAAAAACTACTCATCCACTTATTCCTATCCACTCGTTTCTCTTCCTATAGTTCTTATCCGCTCGCCTGCCGCCTCCGAGAGCATGATTGCTGGCCCTCTGATGTGCACCGCTCGGGTGCTGGCCTTGCTAGGCACGACACGCGACTGCCTTCGAGTTGCGGCGCTCGATTGCTGGCCCTGCCAGGCACGGCGCGCTGCTGCCCTCTCCAAGTCGCACAGCCGCGGCCTCGCCACCGCTCGTGCGGCCAATGTCTCCCTTTCACGACGTGCAGCCACTGTCGCCGGCCCGTCTGAAAGGTCCTAATGGCTAGAGAAGGTGAATAGCCTATTAAAAATTCTACAACAACACTAAGCCAAGTGGTTAGAAAATTACGAGACGAAGCAAGTGTTGCGCTAGCCTACTAAAAATGCAAGTCTCCTATCCCCAATTCTAGTTGATATGATCACTATGACACTCAGAGGCTAAGTTACTACTCTCTACACAAGTTGAGCTAGCTAGGAACTAATTACAACTAAGAAGTTAAGCTACACGACTAGCTACAACTACCACAAGTTCTACACAATGTAATACAAGAGAGTGGTAGAGGAGATATACCGTCGTGGCAAGAGATCAATCAATGAATACCAAAGAATACCAAGGAGACAATAATGACACAATGATTTTTCCTCCGAGGTTCACTTGCTTGCGACAAGCTAGTCCCCGTTGTGGTGATACACTCACTTGGAGGTTCACGCGCTAATAGGCATCACACGCCTAACCTGCAACCGGATGCCGCACAACCAACACAAGATGAGGATCCACAGGCCACACACAATCCACTAGAGTTGTCTTTCATGATCTCCCACGGGAAAGGCACAAGAACCCCTCACAAGCTCAATGATTAGAGCCGGCAACAATCACCAATAGCCACTCAACGATCCACCAATCACCGGGCCGTCTAGGTGTCGGCAAACACCAAGAGTAACAAGATCTCCACCAGCCCAAATCGCTCAACTAGTGCCACAAGATGCAAGACCACTAAGCAATGCACTAGAGGCTCTCCAATCTCACTCAAATGATGAAATCAAGTGTGCAAGTGAGTGGATTGTGTTTGCTCAACTCCCAAAGGGTGTACTCAGGTGTGGGAAGTGCCAAGAGTGTGGCCAAGGCCAGCCACCACCTCTATTTATAAGCCCACCAACAAATAGAGCCGTTACCCTTTGGAGCACCTTTCTACGGGGGCACCAGACACGGCGGTGTGCCACCGGATAGGGGGTGGCAGTGCCCTTCCAACGGTCATCCAATGGGCACCGAACAGGGTGGCGGTGGTGAAAGCTCTAGTTTAGTTTTGGTGAATTCATGAAACCCTAAGTGCTAACCTAGTTTATCAAAGTGATTATGAGATAGGTGGCACATTCCAAGTGGTGGAGTAAATGAAGATCATGACATGATGATGGTAATGCTATGGTGATGATCAAGTGCTTGGACTTGAAAAGAAGAAAGAGAAAAACAAAAGGCTCAAGGCAAAGGTATAAGTGGTAGGAGCCATTTTGTTTCGATGATCAAAACACTTAGCGAGTGTGATCACATTTAGGTCCGATAGCCGTACTATTAAGAGGGGTGAAACTCATATCGAAATGCAGTTATCAAAGTGCCACTAGATGCTCTAACTCATTACATATGCATTTAGGATCTAGTGGAGTGCTAACACCCTTGAAAATATTTTGTGAAAATATGCTAACACATGTGCATAAGGTGATACACTTGGTGGTTGGCACATTTGAGCAAGGGTTAGGAACTTCACCGGTGGAGTGTATATAGAAAAGACGGAGGTCACTGTAAGTGACAGGACGCTGGTCTCGGTAGGACCGACGCGTCCGGTCAGTAGAAGCAGCAAAGACGCTGGCATCGGTCTCTGACCGGACGCTGGGTCACTTAGTGACCGGACGCTGGAGGGGTGCGTCCGATCCTGCTGACATGGCAATGCACAATGGTGACGCCGAGTGACCGAACGTTGGGTGAGTCCGATCGGGCATGACCGGACGCGTCCTATCATGATTTTTCGCTTCTGGTTGCTTACTGGAAACGACCGGACGCTGAGGTCCTACGTCCGGTCACTTCGAAGCAGCGCGTCCGGTCACAACTTAAACGTTCTGATGACCATTGAGATCGGGTGATCAGTGTTTGAAGCAGGGGACACGTGGCACACATCGTGCGACCGGACGCTGGGGTCCAGCGTCCGGTCGATCTGACCTGCGCGTCCGGTCATCCTGTTTTTCAGTGGACTGAGGAGCCAACATCTCTATTTCATGGGGGGCTCTATTTAAGCCCCATGGCTGGCTCAAGCTCATTCTCTTAGCCATTTGCATTGACAAAGCAACCTTGTGAGCTTAGCCAAAGCCCTCCCACTCATCTCCATCATTGATCCATCATCATTGTGAGATTGGGAGAGAATCCAAGTGCATTACTTGAGTGATTGCATCTAGAGGCACTTGGTATTCGTGTTTCGCTGCGGGATTCACTTGTTTCTCTTGGTGGTTGCTGCCATCTAGATGGCTTGGAGCAGCGAGGATCGTTGAGCAGAGGTTGGTGATTGTCTCTGGCTCCGATCGTGGTGATTGTGAGGGGTCTTGTGCCTTCCCCGGGAGAGCACCTCACTTGTGGGTAGGTTCTTGCGGTGTCCTATTGTGTGGACGAGGTTCGTGCAACACCTCTTAGCCACCGAACCACCAAGTGTTGGTCGACACAACGGGGACTAGCGTGCCGACAAGCACGTGAACCTCGGGAGAAAATTGGTTGTCTCTTGCCCTTTGGTATTCTCCCAGTGATTGATTTAGTATTCATCTTGTAATTAGTTCACTCCTCTACACGGCGCTATAATCACCCTACTCACTCATTTATATTCTTACAAACTAGTTGTAGCATGCTCTTTAGTGTAATTAGAATTGAGAGCTTGCTTTGTTATTTTAAGTTCATCTAGTGGAGCTCTTTAGTGTAGCAAGTGTGAGAGCTCTTAGTGAGTAGGGACATAACAAATTGTGTGTCTAGAGATCATAGCAACTAGACTTGTTGGATAGGTGGCTTGCAACCCTTGTAGAGCTAGAGCAAGTTTACATTTCACTATTTGTTATACTAATCAAATTGCTCTAGTTGATTTGTAGATTTTTAAATAGGCTATTCACCCCCCCCTCTAGCCATATTAGGACCTTTCAAGTGGTATCAGAGCTGTGGTCATCGTTTGATTAAAGGCTTAACAACCTCGATGTCAAATTATGGCTCAAGTTGTGTTCAACCATGTGGGGGCAAACCACCGTTCTTTGATGGCATATGCTATGATTATTGGAAGAGAAAGATGAGGATGTATCTTGGTTCAATCAATGATCAAGTACGGGATGTGACTGAGAATGACTATGCTATCATTGATCCCAACAATCCCACCAACCTAGACAAGACCAACAAGCAATGCAATACAATGTCTCTCAACACCATATACAATGCTATTGATTCTAAGGTGTTTGAGAAAATCAAGGATTGTGGAAGAGCTAATGAGGTGTGGAGGAGATTGGAGGAAACATATGAGGGCACACCGGCGGTGAAGAGTGCCAAGTTGTACATCCTCAAAGATAAGTTGACAAGCTTCAAGATGAAGGATGATGAGAGCATTCTAGATATGTTCCATCAGTTGCAAGTAATTGTCAATGATTTGAAGGCTTTGG